AAGTAATGATCATACCAAATGGGGAGGGTTCACCTAAATCTCCAGATGCGTGAAGTGAATAAGCAGGTTAGACCCCAGCTTTGTTATTATAGGACGATATAGGGGTCCGATAGAGAATTGGTTAAAATGTTTAAATTTAGTATTTGCTTTTAAGTTTTATTACAAAAAAGAATTTTAAAAGTGTGTATTCAGTACATTTTCGACTGTCTTAAAATTTGGACCTTTTTCGATTTGGGGTGGGATGTTGGGGAGCATACGCACCCACTCATATTAAAATAACGCTTTATTAACATGTACACTTTACATAATGTATTAAATCATAGAGGTACAAAAAACCTCCAATCAATTTTATTTTCTGAATTTCTATTCCTATACCTCATGAAAGCATGATTGTCATAAAGTTTCCAAAAAGTGTTTTAATCTAATGAGATTTATACTTAATTATGCCTAACTTAACATAGATGCCAAAATGAAAATAGTTTGAATGTATTTCTCACTAGTTCAATCTTTTTTATTTCAGTGTCTCAGGTCAAATCTACCGATACATCAATTATTGTCAGCGGAACACGACGTGTATTAAATTGCCGGAACACAATATGCTATCAATAGCCTAACTTGTGGTCTTAATTCTACAAATAATCGCGCGCGGATATTTATTATGATTTATATCAATGGATCGCCGGAATTGAATCAAATTTGCCAATGTTTCTTATACAATGGACAAGTAATTCTCGAACGATATTACACACTTAAATATAATTAGGCCTAAGCATTATATATATTATATATTATATAATTATATAACGGTATTACCTAAAACTAGAATATATATATTCTATTTATATTACGTTTGTATAGTTGTGATGTAACATTTCCGAGTATGTAAGGAATAAAATTAAACTGAAATACATCATTGTGTGTACTTCCTTTGTCTTAACTGCATTAATAATAATATTATATATTTCATGATTATTAATCAGTATATAAGCGAATTAAATATATTATAATCACTGCGATTCGAATATACCACTATTACGGGCTTCTATATCTTATAAACACTCTTCCAAATATATTCACATGGAACCCATGACACCAACAAATTACGAAACTTTTCAGAGCAATGTGCTGTCGAATTTTACAAAACAGGAAATGACGTCGGTTGCTAGGCAACAGCTTATGCATATTCAGTAACACCTGTGCTCATTAGACTAACAATAAAAACTTTTAGCTCAGTTTTGACAAAATCGACCAAAAAGATTTTATTGTTAGTCTAATTAGAACAGGTGTCACTGAATATTCATAATTATGCATGAGCTTGTTGCTTAGCAACCACGTCATTTCCGGTTTCATGTTTTTGTTGAGGGCGTCCTCGAAATAATTGCTAGTTTAATAGATAAAGTAGCACGTTATTGATGAATCAATTCTTCACTTTTGGTTTAAGCTTATAAGCTTATTATAATAGGATATTTTAGCAATTGAATTTATTATAGTAAACATAGACATTAATAAGATGAGAAGAAATGCACAATTCCATTTGATATTTATTTTCAAGCATTGAAATCAAGTTGTGATATATATATATATATATATACATATATATATATATATATATACATTTTATATTTATATACTGTAGTCCTATATCATGTACATCCGGTAAAAATCAATAAATCTGATTTTAATCCTCAAAATGTTATTATGTTACATGTCAATATTCTTTACAAGAAACGGGTTACTTTTTCTATTAATAAGATAAACATTAGCAGTAATAATACAATATTAATAAACATAAGCCTACAAGAATTACTACATATTGCTAACATTATTTTTTAGATTATTGCAGAGAACTAGAAAAACATTTTAAAAATAAAATTTACACTATATTTTAATTCATTTCATTTTTTTTTTGTAAGGAGCTTGATGAGTCCGGACTTTCTTTTCTGATAGTTGTGGCTTCTACATCACTGGAATAGAAAAATATTGACAAAAGATTAGGAAATAGTGAAAGAATTATAACGGAGTATTATATAATTAAAATATATAAATAAAAACAGAGGCAGAGCCAGTAGGTTTGAAATAGAGGGGGCCCACGGGGAGGGACCTTGCCAGATGAAGGGTTCCCACCACTTCAGCCCCACCATGGTTGGGGATGAGGTAAGAAATTTTTGATTATGGCACCTCTAGGTGGCCAGAAAATGACACTCTCAAATTTAAAATTTGAATGTAATTTTCTTTTTTTCTCCAATTTTTTACAATTTAAAAAAATTTACGGGGAGCCTAGCCCTCAGACTTAAAATTTAAACATAGCAAACCTGAACATTATTGTATTCAGTTATCGCAATGGATAATGCTGTTGATACAACATAGGCCTAATAGTTCTTCACAATTCTTATCATATCTGCATTATCATATTAAATAGGCCTATTAATTATTTATAGTATCTTCATACCACAGAATGATGTGAGGATTATTAAATACATGGCATTGGGTAGGACAAGTAGATCGCAATAGCGCAAACAAATTACGTTAGCATTCCGATTGTCATGGATAAATAAAATTTATAAAAAGTGTACTATTCGATAGAAATGAATATAGATTCATAAATACAGTATAGGCCTTCCTACAAACACTTTTAATGATATAATGTTCTTTTGATTGATTGATTGATTTAATTTATTCGATGCTCAACATGCATAAGCAAGATAACAAATGGATTGAGATCAAGAAAAGTAAAAATTACCGTAATGAGCATCAGGAACGCCCATTTGACCGGAGTCCAGCATATTTCCAATTAAGTCCAAATTAAATATACACTGTCTGTCTTGAGCTGAAGGATAAACAATTTAATTCCATAACTGAATAATTATATTTAAGTAAGTTACAAAGTTACAATTAAATATATGAAGGACAAAATAGTTTTTCTGTCAATTAACAGACAGTTAAATTATACCAGTGCTATATTCTTATTTATACATAGACTCTTAGATTGGCTGGTAGTGTCGATTTAAGGATTTTGTAGTAAAATCAGGAAAAATTAGAAAAATGTCGATAGGGGGTCCAACAATTCTGATCGGGGTCTAAAACAAGGAGATGCCTAGAGCATTGTTCAGGTTCCCGGAATAAAATCCCTGGGGTGAGGTTCATGGGGAGAAATCTTACGGTACAGGATCGTCCATGTGATTTTTGACCACAACTGGATTGGCTGTCAAAATATATTTGTTTGGATCGGCAAATTAATGTCGTGGAGTCGGACGAGGGAGTAGATAGTTTTTAAGTTATGGTTATTTCTCCTCTAATTGCCCTACAAGTGTGGCTTATCCTTTTCTTTTTTTTTAAATCCCGTAGATCCCTCTAATCAAGGACTGTGAGGACTACTTTATTTTAAAAAATCGGTTTTCATTAAGGCAGCTAAATTGTAGAAAACTCTTCCTCCTAGCGCCATTTTCTGTTAAATTGTCTGCTGCCTTATCTTTTATTGAAAACTGGGAACCCAGTTGCTAAAATTGTTTTCAAATTCAGGCTTTTTTGTATTGTTTTTACTTTCATGCATGAATTACATTTGATCATATGATCAGTGGATCACCTTTGGTGTTGGGCCTTGCCCATGTCTCGCTTTAGGCACTCTCCATGTAATTTCATCCATTGCATATTATTCATCTATATGTCGCAATTGGTAATATCCATGCATACATGGCCACATAGAGAGAGTGAGAGACGCTCATCTATGTCTGGTTTTTAAAATGTATCTGTATTTCAAATGTATTGTAAATGTAAATATATTTCACATTTTGACTTTCTTTTGGAGGGTCGCCATGAGTGTTTTTTTCTTAAACGGATACCGGCACTTTATAAATTTTCATCATCATCATCATCATCACCACCATCACCATCACCATCACCATCACCATCACCATCACCATCACCATCACCATCACCATCACCATCACCATCA